TCTCGAAAAACCAAAAAAAAAAAAAAAAAAAAACAAAACCGATTTATTTTTATTTCATATGCATTGACATTTTGCCTGCATGTATGTCTGTGTGAGGGCATCTGGTTCCCTGAAACTGGCTTTACAGACAGTTGTGAGCTGCCCTGTGGGTGCTGGGATTTGAACCTGGGTCCTTTGGAAGAGCAGTCAGTTCTCTTAACCACTGAGCCATCTCTCCAGCACCTTTTTCTTATCCATTCCTCTGTTGAGGGACACCTGGATGGGTTCCATAACTTAGCTATTGTGAATACTCATACACAGTAAACACTGATGTGCAGGAGCTCTGGTGTGTTGATTTGGAGTGGTAGAGCTGGATCATGCGGTACGATTTCTGGTTGCTGCTGCTTTGTTTTGAGGAACCTCAATACTGGTTTCGGTTCTGATTGCTCTGGCTTAACATCCCCCCCCCCCCCCGCAGTGTAGAAGTGTTCCATTTTTCTCTGACTCTTCTCCAGCACTTGCTCTTATTTATTTTCTTAATGAAAAGTTGCAGCACTCCCATCCACCCTCCACCCACTTTCCCTGAACGTTCAAGCTTCACACAACCATGGGGCACTGTCAAAACCAGGAGACTAACATTGGCGTGTTACTACTGGCATGTTACACTGCGAGCTTTCTTTGGAGGTCACCAGTTTTTCCTTCAATGCCCTTGTCTTCTTCCAGGAACCCCCATTGTATTTGGCTGGCTTCTGCCTTCTAAAATTCACAATTCCTTTTGAAAACTGGATCCTGAACCAATGAGATGGCCCAGTGGGTTGTTATGGAATATTTGTTTACACCGTGCGAAGATGTGTCGCTGTGACTGGAGTAATAAAGAACTGAACGGTCAGAGGCTAGGCAGGAGAGAATAAGCAGGACTTCCAGGCACAGAGAAGATTCTGGGAAGAAGGCAGAGTTACCAGCCAGACTCGGAATAAGCAGGGTGGGCAGTATGGAGATGAGGTAACAATTGAAAAATATGGGTTAATTTAAATCCTAAGAACTAGTTAGAAACAAGCCTAAGCTAAGGCCGAGCTTTTATAATTAATAATAACTTTCTCTGTCCTTCTTTGTGAGCTGGAAGCCCAAAGAAAAATCCGACTACAGTGGGTAAAGGCACTTGTCACCCATTTGAGTTGGATCCCCAGAATTCACATAGTGGAAGGGGAGAACAGGTTCCTGCAAGCTGTGGTCTGACCTCTACATGCAAAATAAAATTTAAAATAAAATAAAATAAAATAAAATAAAACCACAGACTGCTTCACCATGCTTCAGGGTAAAGGCAGAAGACATTTGTCTTATTGTCCACTCTAGGTTTGGAACTGAAGACAGGAAGAAGTAGAAAACATGTCTCAGAGGTGGAGCCAGCAAGGAGACGCACCGGCTGCCTCCACCTGGATACTGTCTCTGTGGGAACCTTCCTCTGCCCCAGCCTGGGTGCCTTCCTGGTCAGGGGTCATTCCAAGTACAAAGGCTTTGAGAAAGGACTGTCCCAGAGAGCCCTAATGAATGAGGGGAACACAGAAGAGCCAACAGCTTAGGACCCTTCCCCCGAGGGCAGATCATCTGGCCTGAGCTGCTTCTTTGGATCCAGGCCCAGAACTTGGCCTGTAACTTTAAAATTCAGTCCCTATTTTGAGCGCGCAGCAAGCACCTCATAACAAACAGCTGGAAAGAGAAGTTGAGACACTCTGCGTCTCAGCAGAATTGTTTCCAAATAAAGTGCTGTTTCTTTCCTCCCCAGACTGTCCCCAGTGATGCATCAGTGCTTAACCACTGAGTATCTTTCCTTGCTTATGACACAGACACTCTCCCCCCTCCCCGCCACCCCCATCCTCCGCATGGCCTCTTTTATAGCAAGGACGAGAATAGTGCTAACAGGGGTCTGAGTGTGCTCAAGAAGCCTGCCTGCGGCTCCCCTCATAAAAAAGATGGACTCCTGGCAAAGGCTTATCTTTCTAGAGAGGTGAGATTCATGGAAAGATGCTTCCAGGACATCAGCATGGGCCGGGGATGGGGGCAGTCCTGTGTCCGAGAGTGGCCTGCCAGTCACCATGACACAGAGGCTTCCCAAGACTCCATACCCATGTACTGGGGGTCAGGACCTCATGAAACTCTCAACACATTAGTTTTGTGCTCTGTAGTTTATGAGGGTCACAGAGAACCAAATTGTACCCGGAGGAGGGGATGGTGGGAGGGCCAGCCGGGGAGAGGTTAATGGACTGGGGTGTCGTATCCCGGCCTGAGAATCAAGGGGAAGCTGGCTAATGGGCTCTGCAGATATAAAACCTTTGTTTTCCATCTTCACTAAGACAGGGTCTTAAAGTCCCTTTCCAGTCATAAAGACTGGGACTAGACAAGGGAATGACCAGAGCAGGAGCTGGGAGACCTT